GACGGCAGCACATAGGTTCCTCCTTCTGGCACCGGCTGCCCGCCCACCTCACCCCCTGCCCTCCATGCCCTGGGAGCAGGTGCTGGAAACAGGAACCTGGTTATCAGCCCCACCACCACCATCCCAGGCTGACACAGAGCCCCACAGCCTCTTTTAACCTACTCATTGTAGAGTGGCTGAGCTGGAGCCCAGCTCAACAGACAACAGCAGCAATGGTCCACAAGCTCCTCTGTCCAGCACCTGCTCCCAACCAGGAGGGATGTGGAACAGAGGCATGGATGGGGTGCAGGCAGAGGCTGGAAAGAGGAAACTGTAAACCACCACCACTGTCCCCCAACAGCCTGGCACCCTGCACAGTCACTCCCTACGACTCCTGGCTAGAGCAGGGTGGAAATGGTTCTGCCCCCAACCCCCTCAGCCCCAGGTCAACCAGAGACAGCGGGAACAGTGGCAGAAAGGGAGGCGGGGTGGGTCCCCTCCCCCTTTGTGTGCCTGCAGTGCCCCCCTGCTGACCTGGGGGCTCCAGCCACACCTCACCCTATCCCCATGGTCTGAAGGGCGGTGTGCGAGGCCCTCCTTTAGTAAATCCTGGATCCACACATAAAGCAAACTGCAATCTTCAGTCTCCCTTCGGTCTGCCAGTGGGCATGCTAACTAATGCTAAAAAAAAAAAAAAAAGAAAAAAAAGAAGACTGCTTTGAAATGAGCAGTTGAGATGAGACTAAAGGATGTCAGGGTGGCAAGAGAGAGAAGTGTAACTAATGGTGTGGACAGACATAACCATTATAATCAGAAAATACTATACTGAATAACAACTATTATGTCTCTCTACTGCAGTATAAGTGGAATGAACCATTGTAACTTTAACCCAGTTTTACTCATTAAAAATGTTTAGCAGTTTCACTAGCTTATGTTGCTATGGAAGTAGGTGGATTTAACTGTTAAACTTGGAACAGATAACGGTGTACCCCCAAATTAGGCATCTCTCATTTTAAATTCGCACCTCACCATATCCTAGCACATATATGGCATAGAGGAGACTAGCAGTACTGTCGGCTGCTCCACAGCTTGATAGCAGGGGTAGAGAAAAAGGTGAAAAGAGAAGGATTAGAAAGAAATTCCACAAAGAAGAAAAATAATATCTGTCCTGTGAAGACAAATGTATTTGCAACAGATGATCTAGTTAGAGAGAAAGAAGCTGAAGTTGAACCTCATTGCTGCGGTCACCAGAAGAAGAACTTTGGCACCAAGATCTCCAGTCCAAAATCTCCTTTGTGGCATAGTTGCAGGTATCAGACCCAAAAACAGCTTCCAGAATGCCAGAAAGTCTAATGCTTCTTAACAACTTTTCATGGAGTCTTAATTCAAACTGCCCTAAAGCCACACTATTTCCAGGCAGTTCGCTTTATTAAAAAACATTACTTGCTTGTACCCTTCAAAAGATGCCCCAAAAGCTGCACTTAACTTACCTCTGTAATAAATGTAATGTCACCTATTACAACAAAATTCTCCATCGCACCTATGTACAAATAAGGCAGAATACAGATCTAGCAGTCTACCAGCTGCTCAAATAGTAGGGTTGTGCCAGCACCCCACAGTCTTAAAAAGGGCATGGAGGCTGATTTAAGAGTGTGGCTCCATGTTGCAAGCAGCAGTAGGCACTGGAGGAAGGACACGCTATTCCTCCTTGGAACCACAATAAAAAGGCACTGCTGTGGACACTGCTGCTAAACTGGCAGCCTCTCTCAGGGGAACAAAGACAAATATTTTGCTCCACTTGTGTCAGAAAAAACAAAATATTGTGCAGTTTCTCTCCATTTCTCTGCTCATTACTGACAAATGTTTTGAGTCTGAAACTTGCAGATAGTTGTTACATAATCTTCCCAGGAATTCAGAGAATTTCAATATATAAAGTGTTATATAGGAAAATAATCTGATTCTTTGTTTCAGAATTAGGTTAGAGATCTCATTTAGAGAAGGGCAGCCCTTGAAAGCAAAGCTAATCATAAACATCTTGACAGAATTTGAAACTTCAGATTGGGTTAATTTTAACACTGTAATTCCCAAGCTGTAGCCTAGGCACCATCAGCAGTCTGAAAACAACTTTGCTAGAAGGCTGCTGAGATCTCATAATGCAAAAGGCAGGGCAAGGTGGGACTTTATGGACTAACTTGGTTAGAGACATATAGCATCTGATCAAGTAGGCTGTTGCCTATGAAAGCTTACGCACTTCTGAACAACTAACGCATAATCTTTATTTTCTATTCCTAGGAGGAAATCATTTAAGATTTAAAGTTTCCTTACATGTTATTTTAGCTGTGTTAATTTTTAATTATAAGAGCAAGTGTTTGAATCTCTTATGGTACTAGTTTTGGGAATTAAATTACTAGAAAAGGATAAGAGTGTCACCAATTAGCGGAAGAAAAAAAAAAAAAAAAAAAAATCACATTAGAACAAGGCTTCCAAACATACAAAAAATCAAGTGTACCTTTGAAGAATGTTATTGCAATAAGCAGAATTCAAAAAGCATTTGGAATTATATAACCAATGATTTTAAGTGTACACATACAACCTTTTTTTTTTTTTTTTTAAAGGAATGTAGGCAACAGTGTATTAAACCTGTGAACTGACAGATGTAAAATGTGAAACAGAAAGGAAATAACGGAGTCAATACACTTTTCACCCTGTTCTCTTGATCCACTCGACTTGGACAGCATGTGTGGAGATGAAGCAGCCCAATCAATGTAAGAGTATTGCCAAGACAACGTATGAATTGTCAGAGTTGCCATACACTACCCTGATGCATGGGATGTGCAAACAGCAGGGTGCTAAAGAGGGAATGGAGGCAGCATGGAGTGCACACTAGCTACTCTGGACTGGCAAACAACTCATAGGAGGCCACAGAAGCCAAACACACATTAAATCTGTCATATATTTCCTTTAACGTACAACAAGCGTTGGGCAAACTCCTGGACGGTGCGACTAGAAGGCATCTTAGAACCAGTTCTTCTCCTCCCCCACTTAATTCTTATGCACAGGCACACAGCTGTAAAGCATCGGGTCCACTGTTTCTTTTTACAGTAAGTTTGGCCAATCTAAACTGCATCCTATGAATAAAAGACATTTTTAAAGTTTTAATTTGCACATACCAAAACAAACTGCATGTTTTCTAACTGAAACACCACATAGATGTACCATAGTCAACTATACACATAAGCAGCAAACCCCAGCAAAAGCTGCTTCTATTTTACAGACTGGCTTGTACAATTTTTCTTTTTCTGAATATGGGTTACGATCAGCATAGTACAACACTAACTATCAAATGGTTTGAGATGTTTCAGGAACAGTGCAAAACTTCTTGGCCAGGGTTTGCATTTGTAAAATGTATTCTCAGGTATTCTATTCAACTCTGTTTAAGCTGACTTGGTTATGAAGCTATACCCAGAGTATTAGGCTTTACCACAAGATGTACTAGCTGGACTTGTCCTACGGAGGATGTCCACATGGATTAACAAAAATGGACAGCTATACATCGAAGAGTATTTACTCTCTGAGCTGTGTTCTGAGTACAATCAGGTTATGCTTAAAGTTTTCCATGTTATTTTTACAACTTGTCACGCTAAGCAATTTATTTCATTCTGCTTTTAAATTTTAAACTTACAACTTTTCAGCAAGAAAAGATGCATCTTAAAAACAAAAAAGGAAACCTAAAGTATTATTCACATATGTAGAAGTAGGTGCAAGTTTCTTGCAGGTTACCTACTGCCTAGCACCACAGTTAGCCATTTATACCTGTCCACAACTGGCGCAAAACAGAATTCTGAGTTGGTAGCTTTTTATACCTGCTTTGCGCAGATAGAAATGACTGCATAGGGTACAAGGTAGTGGAGAGTCTGAATCAACAATAATACAGAAAAAAAAAAAAATCAACAGGCCAAAACAATTACCACTAGGTGTCACCATTTGATACTATATAAAATATTAGAGACACGAGCAAGGAACAGTTGCTTCACTTCAAAATTATATGGTGGTGATACTGACTGCAGTGGAGACTTCTTTATTCAGCATCTCTGCACCTTATCCCTAGTTCTTATTTTTATGCCTTTCAGATAAATAAGAGGTTTTCTGCTACAACAGTAAGAACCTCTTGTAGTCAACATCAGATACAATGTCAGAGTACATGTACTTTGTAACAGAAAATTAGATGGTTCCAACCTATTGTAGGAATATGCCATCTACACAATATACTACCACTAAGTGGAGTTTTAAGGGAAATAAAATAAAATACTGTCTTTTAAAAAGTCTTTAAAAGGTTGCTTTTCTGACGGGGAAAACTCAGACTACAAACCTTACTTTGCTAAAAATATTTAGGGTTCAGCTATGTTACACTCTGCACAAGATTCATTGGGTGCACACACTCCACTTATTAATCCCACGCAGGAGGAAGCTATGCTGTGCCTACTACAAAACATGATGCGAGAGCACATCCTCTTTGGGGCACACTGGCTGGCAGGCAACATTTGCACCACTCCCAATCAAGGGCAGTACTTTCAACCACAATTGAATCATCGTACTTCATTTGGTTTCGGAAGCAACTCTGATTTCACAACAATAGTTCTGTGGATTAGTCATTAACAGATTAATACCAGAGACTTGGTAAATGGTCAATATTTTAGTTATTACTTTTCATAATTTTATAAATGCTTTATTTAAAAATTAAAACAAACCTTACCAACTGTGGAGCTGTCTTCAAGTACCACATCTACATTTCTGTCTCTGTACTCCACCCTAAAATCAAGCATTCGTGGTTGTCTTTCCACTATTTGTCTGGATGGCACTACATGTCGAAATGCTGAAGATGAGGAAGAAGTTGAAGAGGCAGCGGTAGGATGACTCGTGGGACCATATGCTGGTCCTTGTAAAGCTTCTCCACCATATTCACTGAAAAATATATAGATAAGAGAATTTAATCAGAACAGACCGAGAAAAGAACTATTTAAAGGAAAAGTTAAGCCAAGCAAAATGAGCAACAAACACATACCGTCATCCACAGCTTACACCGCAGAGTCTACCATATTGCCTTATGAAACAGCATCAACTCTCCTAATACAGCCTTAGTATCATCTGTCCTACTGACAAATGCAGTGTGCAGCAAAGAGGAGGGAAAAAGCAAACAGCCTAGAGTAGTAGGCTAGGGATTAGAGAAGCTAGATGCTTTCAAAATTGGCAGGGCCAGACAACACACCTTAAAGTACTCAGGGCACTGACCTCCAGAGTGCTGGAAATGGGGCAAATGCATTATTCATCTTTAAGAAAGGGAAGAAGGAGGATCTAGGGAATAACAGACCAGTCAGTCTGACATCAGTACCGGGAAAAGATCATGGAGCAGGTCATCAAGGGATCTATTTCAAAGCAGTTGGAGGAAAACAAAGTGATCTCGAACAGCCAACATGGATTCACCAGGTCTAAAGAGCTACCAAATCATTTTCTTCTAGGATAAAGTGCCTGACTGTGAATGAGGGAGAGCCGTGGATGTGATATGCCTTGGTTTTATCAAGGCTTTTGACACAGTCTCCCATGACACTCATTCATGAGCTATGGCACGGGTAGGCAAAATATGGCTTGTGGGCCAGGCAGGCTTGGCTTCCAGGCAGCCCCAGCAGCCATGTCCCCTTCCATCTCCAGTGCCGCTAGACCCAGCCCCGCTGCCCAGGCACCCCGACCCACCCACCCCTCACCCATCACTGCAGGCACTGGACAGAGCAGGTGGGAGCCCAGGACCCCCATGGAGAGGGTACATTCAGCCAGTTGGATGGGGATGGGGCCACAAGTAAGTGGGGAGCAGTGTCCAGGACTGGGATAAGCAGCTGGGGTCGGGATTGCAGGGCAGTAACAACACAGGGAAAGGGCCCAGGGCAGAGCTGTGATCCACTTCCTATATGTCCCTGCCCACAGAACCAGCACTCGTCACAGTGACACGCAGGGAGTGGGTCGCATCTCTGCCCTGGGCCCTGGTCCCGCAGTCACCGCCCTGAGGTCCCAGCCCCAGCCACCGGTCCCATTCCCAGACACCACTCCCCACCTACCCGCTGCCCCATCCCATCCACCCAGCTGAGTGCGTCCTGCCCACTGGGGGTCCCAGGCCAGTTTACATGGAGACCACACCCACCCCACCTACTCCATCCAGCAGCCCTGGCAGTGCATGTGGCGTGGACAGGCCTGGAGCTAGTTAGGATCAACTGACATCTCTCTTGGCCTCCCCAGTGTAAAAGCCCTAACTGGGGGGCAGGGGAGGGGAGCGGTTGGGACAGGCATGACCTGGTCAGCATCCCCTTCCTCCCACTCCAGCCACCGACAGCTCACCAAAATTCTTTAAATGGCCTTCCAGCCCACATAAATTGCCCACCCGGAGCTAGGGCAATAAAGACTAAATGAAAATACTGCAAGGTGGACTGGTTGCTCACAGGATGTATCAAGTGGTGCTCCCCAAGGCCAGTTTGGGTCCAGTATTGCTCAACTTCTTCATTAATAATTTGAACAATGGGAATGACAGCACACAGCAAATTTGTGGACAACACCTAGCTGGGTGGAGTTGCATACAGGCTAAACGGTAAGGCTAGGATCCAGAATGACCCAGATAAACTGGTCTGAAAGCAATCAGACAAAATTCAACAAGGACAAGTACAAAGTCCTGCAATTATGATGAAATAATTGCATGCACAAAGACAGACTGCAGGATGATGGCTAGGTTGCAGTAATACAGAGAAGGACCCGAGGGTTACAGTGGACCACAAGCTATATATGAGCCAACAGCATGCTCTTGTTGCAAACAGAAAAGTCAACACCATACCGGGATATATTAACAAGAATGTCACTTGCAAATCAAGGGAAGTGATTCGGCCGTCATCTGGCACTGGTGAGGCCTGAGCTGGAGTACTGTATATCCAGTTTTGGGGCCTGCAGTTCAAGATGTGGTCAGGTTAGGAAAAAAAGTCCAGCAAAGAGGAACAAAAATTAGAGGCCTCAGAAACATGACTTAAGAAGAAATGCTGAAAGAGCTAGGTTTATTTAGGCAGGAGAAGAGAAGGCCAAGGCGGAATTTGGTAACAGTCTTCAAATACCTGAGGGGCAGATACAAAGAGGAAGGAGGTGGACTATGGACAGGACTAGAAGCAACGGCCTCAAGCTTCAAGCAGGGGAAATTCAGGGTGAAGATTAGGAAGAATTCTCTCACTATGAGGGTAGCTAAGCATTGGAACAAGCTACCTAGAGAGGTTGTGGGATCTCCCTGGAAATTTTCAAGAGCATTGCAAGCACCAGTCCACTACATCAGCAGGCTAGTTTTATCCTAACCAGTAACCAGATCAGACCGAAGGCAAAGCACAGTAGTATTCTATGTCTGATAGCCATTTTTTTTCCGAAAACAAGAAAGGAAAATGAAATAAATACTTTGCATCAGACCACGACAAGAAATAATAGATGCATTAGTTTAATACTAAATATATCTAGTGTCTGTTAATGTACAGAATGATGAAGTACAGCTACTTTTTCAGCTTCCTATCCCTCAAACCTAAGTGCACTTGTGCAAGGGCCAGCCACAATCTAGCTCAGAGGAGAAAGGCTAGAGTGAACAAAGCATTGCAGAGAAGATTAATTTAAAAAACACCACTGATGGAAAAGTATTTCATCTCCTTCATCCAGCATCTCTCCAGCGAGCACACTGCTAGAGATTAGGAAGCAGCATGACAAAATAAAACAAACTGCAATCCTCTTCAAGCCAAAGAATTTGCAGCCACTGACAAAATGAGCATGTCACCTGTAGAAACAAGCATTCTACCAACATGGTCCGAGCTAAAACATTCGCAGAGAAAGCAGGTAATTCTGCCTTACAAAATGTGGTCACTGTTCTGCAGTAGGCTTTACAGATGAAATCTGAATGAAGAAACTTTGAAGAGAACTACTTAAATTTGTGATCTTTCCCTTTCTAAAGGGCACTCATTGAAAAGTTCCTTAAACAACAAAAAGAAAAAACCCTACGTGGAGCATCAAACTATCTTGAGGATTAAATAAAACCAATAAGCACAGCCAATTGTTGCGCACACACAGCTATATAAACAGCAAATACTGCCTACAGTCCCAACTGTCTCCTAGTGCAATTCCTATCAGTGTGCCTCCCACATTCTGAAAAGAAAAAAAATTAAGTGTTATTTTTCCTGGTAGTACAAAGGACTTTTTTCGTTTTCTCTAGTCAGCAGACAAACAAAAACTCTCAGCTATGTAAAACCCACAAGGATTTCAGTTCTAAAGCACACAAGGAATCTATTTTGTTTATGGACTTCCTTTTTTAGAAAAAATTACAATACTGCATACCATAAGGCATTTGTTATGTAGGGTTAACCAATTTATATTGGTCTAGTTCTTTAAACAAAAAAAAGTAAGTAACTACTGTACATTAAAAGTATGCGATAATTTTGCTAACAACCATAAGGAGCAAAGAATCTATTCTAATTCTCAGAATGCACTTCTCTAAAATCACAATTGTAGTGTATCAATAGGAAGACATGTTTTTCCCTGGCTCATTACTTACAAAATTAAACCTAATTATTATTAATTGTATTATAAAAGGTATCCTGGATGAACAATCAGTAACTAATAGCTCAAAATGCAATGATTTCGTTCAGCAAAACTTTTTTGTAGACATTCCTGAAATATTTCACCCAGAAGGTAATGCAACTGCCTTCGAAAAGCAATGGGAATTGGGTGCCTGCCTCAGCATCGGGGATCTGGGTTTTTTTATTTCCTGCGGAAACATGCAGAGAAAATTGGAGAAAAGTAGATTTTCCCCTTTAAAGGAGAAAAATGTGGGTAATGGTGGGTTTCTGCTTCCAGGCTGACAAAGTTGCGCATGCAGGCTGGGGAGCACAGGTGACGTGGCAGAGGGGGCACATGTCCCTTGAGATTTCTGCACGTGCAGTGGGGTGAGGGGCTGCAGCCAGACAGGACCAGCTCCAGGGGAGCCGCCTCCAGAGCCCAGCAGGAGGGAGCGCTGAGCCACCATGGCTGCCAAGGTGAGGTGCCCCCTGCCCACCCAGCATCAACAGGGGGCACAACTCCACACCACCACTTCTGCCACTCCTGTGCCTCACCATGGCAGTGTAGCACTCCCTCCCACACTAGGTCCCACCTGCTTGACTCCTGCCCAGAACTGGTCCAGCCTGGCTGCAGCCCCATGCCCCACTGTGGGCTCAGACATCTCAGAGGGCATGTGCCCCTCCCAACCCCCAATGTCACCTGTGCCCGCACCCCTCCTTCTCCACATACCAACCCCATTCCCCACATACCAGCATATCAAGGCTGCTCAGTGCCACAAAGCAGTGGGGGGACAGCCAGGGGGGCCCTGATTTTCCATGATGAAAAACAAACAATCAAATGCCAAAACATGAGCATTTAGAATTAATTTTATTATAATGATTGATTCATTAATAGGCTTCCAAACTGCTTTAAAATTGTAAATATCAATAAAACATTGTGTTCAACCCACACACACACACACACACACACACACACACACTAACTATATCTTTATCTATTAGGGCTGTGCGAAACTTCGGTAGCTGATTCGATTCGGAGAAGATTTGGCCTGATTTGAGGACCAAATCTCCAAATCCGAATCGAATCAGGAGACCAAGGAAAAGCTCCAAATAAATTCGAAGCATCCGAATCGATTCGGAAAAGCATCGGAAAAAGATTAGGTCGATTCAGAGATTTGGCCATAGACTAAACAGGCAGCTGACAGCTGCCTCAAGCTCCTCAACCTGTTGGGGTTGGGCGAGGGAGGGATTGGGGCTGGGGTTGGGACAAGCTGCCCAGCCAGGGTGAAGGGCACAGCAGCGCTGGGAGCCGGGGCTATGCCCTGCTGCTGCTTGCCCAGACGGGGCAAGGGTGGGGAGGGGTGCGCAGGATGCAGGTGTGGCTTTCTCCAGGCAGAAGGGGGCAAGCAGCAGGGCAGAGCCCCCGCTCCCAGCGCTGCCGTGCCCACATCCTGCACCCCCTGCACCGGCTGGCAAGCGGTGGCAGGGCACAGCCCCCACTCCCAGCATTGATGCGGGCACAGCAGTGCTGGGAGCAGGGGCTATGCCCTACTGCCACATACAGCGAGCCACGCCTGCATTGCACCTCCCCCTCCCCCGCGCTGGCTGGACAAGCAGAAGCCAGGCAGAGCCCCTGCAGCTCACTGCACTGAGGCAAAGGCAGGCACAGACGGAGGAGCCATGGGAGAAGCCCCCATGGCTTCCCTGCTTAGCCCCACCCCCCACCCAGCTCCAGCCTAGTCCCGGTACTCTATAAAAAAAAAAAAAGCCCCGCACTCACTGGCTCTGGCAGCGGTGATTGGGGCCTCTGGACACTTGTGGCAGAGTCCCCCCTGTGCACAGATTGCCCCCCCGCACCTGTGTGGCAGCTGCCCCATGGCTCAGCAGGACACCACATGCTGTCTGGGAGCTGGGGCCGCTGGGATTGAGTGCTCCTGGGCTCCAGCTGACACATGGAGCCGGCCCGGCTCCCAACCAAATCAAACTGTGAACCGGGAGCTGGGGAATCGAACAGGGGTGTGCGTGCGTTGTTTTGGGGAAGGACAACCTCTTATTGTGTATACACACGGTTTTCAGCACAACAGAGTACTAATCTTGGTGTATCTAGGCCCTGCTGAAATACAAATACAATAAAAATAAATAGCCTCTCACTCGATAAACTAAAACCCTAGTTTCTTCAACATTAAAATGTGACCATATTTATTGATAAAGTGTTTAACATATCTGAAGATTTACAGCACAGCTGCACAAATGGTGGTTTACTTACATTATAAATAGTTTCTATAAGTAAGGTAAGAATATTTTAGCAACATGCTCAGCATGACGTTTTAAATGTTTTGTGTTGCAGCATTACTGGCTCTCCCAAACAGTTGAAATCCTGTTCTCCTGCTTCTGATTGCCTCATCAGCACTTAGGAGATCATGCTTCAGTGACTTAGAAACCCAGGCATCAGTACACAAGCCAAACTGGAATTTAGAATTTGAAAGAAAACAAGTGCAGCTACTTTTGAAGTGGGTGATCTTACTTCCTCTGCCAGTACATTTTCCCTGTAACCCAACAAAAAGGCACCATTCATACTTTTGAAAAGAAGGAAAAGTTGTCCCTATCTTTTACATAAGTATGTGCACACCCACAAGAAAGAAGTAAAAAAAGGCTCTAGCCAGGGATGTTTGGGACAATTCCACTCTCTTATTAACACTGCTTTGGGAGTACTAAGGGCTTAGAGGGCAGACAGGCCTTCAATGTTTAGAGAATCCTCCAAAGGCAGTTTTAGACTAGAATAGGCAAACTGCATATTCTTTAGCTGCTGACCCAACACTAAGTGAGGCTAATAGAAATTCAGTGGATTTAATAGGTAACTTTAATCACTTTGGAAAAAAAAAGATGGAATAAGTCAATCTTGCCAGAAACTGAACTCATTACTCTCGTGGTCATTTCAAAAGGGGACTTATAATATTGTATTATTTTACCAAGGGGAAAAAATCAGAAGTTAGGAAGAAAGAGAAGAGGAAAAGAAAGAAAAGCATCCTCCATGACTGTTGCACAGTATCTTTTTATAATGATCAATCCAAGCTTATGCACTTACCTTTGTAGAATGCCATTTTCTTGTGGTATTACACCATTTATAGCTGCCTGTAAACAAAAGATATATTATGAATCAGTGAGCAGGCAACTGTAACAGATCAGAACTTCTGTAGCATTCCAGCAAATGTGCTTGTACACAAGTGACAGATTTACTGAAACAAAATGTCAAGTGTTTCTTAAGCCCAAAAAAATCTTCTACAGCCAAAGAAAATTAGTCACACTTACTCGTGTCACTATATTCTTATAATAATGCCCCTTATTTCACTTACGATGAACCTAACCAAAAACTGAAGATCCAGTCTTTATAAGCAAGCCAAACAAAGCCTTCCCAAATTTGAGGGTTTAAAATATCAATTGAAGGATTTACAATTTCAGGAAGATAAGATTTGGCCAATTGCATACATGTTGAACAGCAATTTGAAACTCAAACCTAGTTCCAAGTGTTTATTGTTTGTTTAGATCCATCCCTAGGTTGCAATCATTCTTAAAAATAATGAGCAATATCTAGCATGTCAAACCTCAGCCTAAAAAACACTTTTCTCTTTAACACCAACAATATCTACAAATCAAATTTATACTGGAAGTTAAAACTAGTGCAAAAAGTTCTAAGTTCAGTTTCAGAACTAGCTTCTAGATCTGTTTCAAAAGTTAGTCCATTTTACCCCCTTTCAGATAGATTTTAAAATGTTTGCTGCATTGCCTGCATCTTGTATACTTACTGTATTCGACACAATTGCATAAAAATAAAAGAAACAGAAAATTAAATACTAAGAGCAAAAATGTCTATTCTATAACTCCCAATTCAGGGCAAGTTTTCAAAATAATCATTAAGGAGGCATATGATCTAGAAAAGACGCGTGATCATACTGGGTGGCACCACTGGACTGGGAATCTTTTGGCTTGGGCAAGTTGCACATGACCCGATTCTCAAACTTAACACTTATTTTATTTTTTTTCCATTAAGACACTTATGACAAATTCTCACAAGCACTGAAAAGCCATATGAATTGATGGTAAAAAAGGATATCAAGATTCCTCCCCCCCAGTCAAAGACCCTAAATGTCTACATTTGAGAACTTAAGAAATGAATCTTTGTTTGAAAGTCTGGCTTTCAACCTCTCTTTTCAAAATGTCCCATCTAGAAAATAAGGAATGATATTTTACCACACCTTACCTATCACCTTCTTCAACAGGGTGGTTCAGAAAGAATTCTTGTATATTGCTTTTAAGACAATGAAGTAATGCAATAAAATCTCTAAAGTACCTAGCACCATGGTGTCTAGATGAACTGTATGTGTTGGTTATTATTAGTCATCAAAGGCCCTGACGTACAGGTTGTGAGACTGATGACTACAAGTCATTCCAAAGAATTCTGAATCAGATCAAAGGGCGGTATGTTTACACAAGCAGCTCAATCAAGGCTATTATGCTACAAATTAAAACTACGTCAGAGATCCAATTAAATCACAATTGTCTTCTGACCGTGTTACAACATGGTTCCATCCCGCAGTAGTGAAGGCAGACTCTTTACTGTATTCCCCAAGCATTTCAAACCTGTAATAGGCAGAATATTCTTTTTTTATGAGAACACACACACCCCCACATACATTTTATTTCTTATATAAGTTGAATTGTTGAAATGATGAATACAAACATGTGTGTATGGGGGGGGTGCGTGTCTATAAACATATATGTATGTATGTATTTAAAATGCAAGATGTAAGTTTTGCAGCCAGGCATACTTGATCTTACTTTCTCTGGGCATATTAATTGACACAAGAATATGGCGCTGTGTTTGTTCAAGGCTGTAGCATAAGTTTTGGAGCATGACTGAAAGGGATAAAACTGTCAAAACTGGATCCCCTAATACAGGTTAACTTCCTATTATGAGCCAATATCATGGTATCTACCTATGGATCCTGTCTAGCAAACAAAGGTGTACTTCCTGAATGTTGAGCTAGCCATAATTTTTGGTAGGGACAAATTCGTGGGAGGATTTGGGGCTATAACAAATGAACATTCTTGTCAAATTTAAACGATACATTATTCCAGTCACAAAGGGGGTGACTAAAGTAGCAAAATTAAGAACTTATCAGTAGGGCTGTGCAAAGCTTCGGTAGCCAATTCGATTTGCAGGAGATTTGGCTCAATTCAGCAGCTGAATCCATATCAAATCAAGAGACCCATTAAAAGGTCTGAATAGATTTAGAAACCTCCAAATCAATTTGGGGAACTTTGGAGATTCGGCCACAGACTATACAGGCAGCAACTGCGGCCTGACCAGTGCCGCATAGAGGGAGAGGATCACCTCCTTGGACCTGCCTGAGATGCATCTGTGGATGCATGACAAGGTGCCGTTTCCTGACCACGTCCCCACATTGGCACCCCATGTTCATCTTGGAATCAATAATGACTCCAAGATCCTTTTCTGCCTCTGTGCTGACAAGAAGGGAGATGAAATCCAAATCAGCCGAATTCGAAATCCAAATCAGCTGAATTTGAATCCGAAGCAAGTACTTGCTGCTTGGCACAAACCTACTTGTCAGTAGAAGCCAGCATCAGTCTCGCAGCAAAAACAGGAAAAAAAAAAAGAAAAAAAATCAAGAATACCCATTTTCTGTTCCTGTTCATAGGTTCTAGGGTCGGAAGGGACCTCAACAGATCATCGAATCCGACCCCCTGCCTAGGCAGGAAAGAGCTCTGGGGTCAGATGACCCCAGCCAGATGCCCATCCAGCCTTCTCTTAAAGACCCCTAAAGTAGGGGGGAGCACCACCTCCCTTGGAAGCCCATTCCAGATTTTGGCCACCCTTACCATGAAGAAGTTTGTCCTGATATCTAGCCTAAATCTGCTCTCTGTCAGTTTGTGACCACTGTTCCTTGTTACCCCAAGAGGTGCACTGCTGGACAGAGCATCTCCGATCCCTTGCTGCATCCCCTTAATGAATTTGTAGGCAGCCACAAGATCACCTCTCAGCCTTCTCTTGTGGAGGCTGAAGAGGTCCAGGTCCCTCAGTCTCTTCTCATAAGGCTTGTCCTGTAAGCCCCTAACCATATGAGTGGCCCTCCTCTGGACCCTCTTGAGTCTGTCAACATCCTTCCCATTAGCTTTTCTGATGGCTTCGTCACACTGCCGACTCATGTTCACCTTGGAGTCCACTAGGACTCCGAGATCCCTTTCCGCTTCCGTTCCACCAAGCAGGTCATTTCCTAGGCAGTAGGTGTGCTGGACATTTTTCCTCCCTAGGTGCAGCACTTTGCATTTCTCCTTGTTGAATTGCATTCTGTTGTTTTCTGCCCATATGTCCAACCTGTCCAGGTCTGCTTGTAGTTGTTCCCTGCCCTCCGGCGTGTCTACTTCTCCCCACATTTTTGTGTCATCTGCAAACTTGGACAGAGTACACTTCGCTCCCTCGTCCAAGTCGCTGATGAAGACATTGAAGAGTATCGGTCCAAGGACCGAGCCCTGCGGGACCCCACTGCCCACACCCTTCCAGGTCGATACCGACCCATCCACTACGACTCTCTAGGTGCGACCCTCCAGCCAATTTGCCACCCACCGGACTGTGTAGTCATCCAAGTCACAGCCTCCTAACTTGTTCACCAGTATGGGGTGGGGTACCGTATCGAAGGCCTTCCTGAAGTCTAAGTATATGACGTCAACCCCTACTCCTGCGTCCAGGCGTTTTGTAACCTGGTCATAAAAAGAGACTAGACTAGATTGTTATGTATGTCAACTTGCGTACATTATAAAAAATAAAGTTAAAACAGCAAGTGTTATTGACCAAAAAAAAAAAAAAGAAAAAGAAAACTTGTTCATATTTGGTATCCACTCACAAACAGAATCAATATTTAGCTAAATGAAGTGTCGCAAGTGTCACAGAGAAAGCACACAGGTATTTTACTGAGATTTTCTCCCTCTGCTCTTGGTAAAAATGCCAAAACCTTATCTACAAATCAGTGTAGCAACCATAGCTTAGGGCACAGGAATTAAAGTTGATTATAAGAATGGGAGTTCAACAATTCTGGTGGCCAGAAATGGTGCTCTAAGGTTGGTCCTATTTCTGACTCCTTGGAGGAAATTACCACAAAAAGAAAAAACAAAACAAAAAAACCCAAACAAATAAAAAACTCACTATTGCTCCCCCTGAAGTTCCTACTGTAAATTTTAATCCATTTCCATCTGTTTGATATATGATCACCAGTCCCTCACTATCCAGTTACTTCATGAGCAGCAGGATTGCATTAGAATACTGTCCTTCTTTCTGCTGTCTCTTAGTTAAAAAAAAAAAAGGGGGGGAAAGAAGTATGTCTCTCTAAAAAGTGTTATGCCAAGCTGCTTCCAAATTTTGGGAGCATTGGAAATATTCAGAAGTTTATGTAGCCTGTGTGGAATTCGGTGTTCATCTAGGCAGATCCACTGGACTCTGGACAGCCAAAATCTATCAACTTGGATTTTGCAAGCTGGGATACCTAATCATATACCTAGCACCTCTGTAACTGCCTTCAAAGAGATACAATTTAAAGCAGATGGCTAATGAACCAAATGGAATCTATAATTTTAAACATGTTATGGTAATCTGTGTTATTTCAGTAAATATCCAATCATTTTTATACTTTATTAATATCATCCGGACTATAAATACCATCAAGGCTCCTGTTGTAAATTAGTAGACAGAGCACCATAGTTACTAAGGCTTGCTATGCATTGTGTATTATTTTTTTCCACACTGAATAATGCAGCTTACCACAGTTCAAATGATGACAAACTAAACAAACCTACAGAAAAACTATTCCTAACTGGAGCAAAAGAAGCCTGTTACTAAGCTAATGTTCGGATGCTGTTTATCCATCGTGGTTACGTCACCCAAAAATTTATTTTGAACCACGTGCCATGTATTTGGTGATGAGGGACTGCAGCCATTGATCATATTAATCTGTTAAACTCTTCAGCAGACATTTTCTCCAATTTCAGAAGACACAAAGGAAAAACTACTGCATTTGCTGATGAAGAATAAAATATATTCTCTTTTGCGTCTTTGGGAATCA